ACTGTTGGTTTTCTTGTTACTGCCACATTGCTTCCGATAGTTCCATAGTAGTTTACTTAGTAGTTACTTGTGCTAGGGAGAGTACAATTCTAACTCAGACGAACTTATAGTCTCAAATTTTGCGCGCAAGTACAAGAGCACAAATCATGATGGCTAAGCCGAATGTAGTAATATCTATTGGAAGAGGTTTCAATGTACTTTTAACTTATGTTTGGGCAACTCGTGATCCAAAAGTCGATAAAAATTTCCCCGGCACTATTGCACGATCATTCGGCGGGTCTCGTCCTTCTCTAGCTAACAGGGGGTTATTAGGTGGTCTCTAATTAAGAAACCCTACGAACATTATATCATAGCAACAAGTATGGTAGGATGGAGGGGTTGAAATACTCCCCCCCCCTCGGCTCTCCCTTCCGCTCCCCCCGTGATTCAACCAACTTTCCTCACCCGCTTGCGCTCTTGAGTGCGCCTCTACTGTCAAGCGTGGTGCGCCCTAATTAATGGTGCTGTATTACTTGTACTTGTACAAGAGGCATCTCACACGAGATAGTCGAACGATGTGACGGCAAAGGCCCTTTTCTGACATACTTTTCCTCCTTTGTTTTTTCTTCTTCTGCTCACCTTGTCTTTTTTTTTGTTCTCTCCTCCCTCGTTCCCCTGCTCATGGAAGTCAGTTTAAAAAGCAATATCAGGGGAGCAGAAGGAGCAGAAGAATGTTGCTCGCGACAGATTAATATAATAAGACTTTTTGCATCGGGCGTTAGGCAAGATTATGATGGCGAATATTGAGCATCCGTCACTTGAGAAATACATAACACGACAGAGATTTCCAGAAAATGACTTATTCCATCAATATATGCCTTGCGAGTAAGTAATTCGCGAAAGAATAAGGGCCGGTGGAAGGGAGATTCTTAAAATTTCATGTGTAAACGTCTTCTCCGCCCAAACGCAGAGTACTTCACTGTGCATTACCGCACAGCATGATGATGATGATGGAGGTACTACCTTGGATGATATGTATATGTGTGACACCTTACTACGCAAAAGGTACTCGTTATATGAGTGAGCAAGGCGCTCGTACAATACAAGGATAGGCAAACCCGTATATCAGCGTGAGAGCATGCTCTTTACGATACTTAAGTTTATATACGGTACCCACACGAAAGAATCATCACTTAGGATTAACCTCACATAGCCGCATGGCGACCTGATCCAATCCCTCATCCAACTCTCCCCCATTCCCCCTTCCCCGGACAAGCCCGCTCCTACGAGTACTTCAAGTTACCCGTGCCCTTTATCATAATCGCCACCCCCCCTCCCCTCCCGCAATGATCCTTCCTTCTTCACATCTTCTTCACATTCAGGCACAGCTGGGCAAAAGGAAAAAAATAATAATGATAGTAATGATAAAAACTTTCCAAGGATGTCGTTCCACACAAGTGTTTAGCAGAAAAAAAAAGGGGAGGAGAAGGAGGGAAAAAATAGCTTAAGAAGGGCAAAGAGAGGACGGAAGAAGAAAAATGGGTGATGGATGGGGAAGGCGACACGTGCGATGTACAACCATCAGACAAACCTTGAACCCTTCCTCTTCACTCTCACCAGCTTCCCAAAAGGTAGGTGCAACCCGATCCACTTTTCCTTTTCCTTTTCCTTTTCCACATCTAGTACCACCTCAGCATCTACTTGAATACTCGTAGAGGGATATGGGCAGTCTGGCATTTTACACCTTGGGCAACTTTAAGTTATAATTTTTCTAGAAATCTCTTCCTGATTACTTTGAGCATTTTTCGACAAAAAAAAAAAAAAAAAAGGGCCTAATATCGGTTTTCCGCAGAAAGTGTGCTCTGCAACTCCTCATAGTAGAATAGAGCTTCAGTTATCAACACTCACATGAGGGTGACAAAAATCACCCAACTTTTACTGAAGAAACCCAAGCAACCGCGAAGCCCATAATGCTACTTTGATTAATTAATCCTATAGTGCTTTTTGGGTTGTAAGTCATTAAGGTTTCTCATTTCCGGAGAAAAATGCAAAATTATGATACCATTCAAATGATTTTTGGCGGCAGGATAGTAACTGCACCCGGTAGGGTCTGGGGGATTGGGGAAGGAAGCATCTTGAAAACACGGGTAACCGGAGAGATAGATAGAGGATTCACAAAGACACCACGATAACAGCTTCTCACGATATCTACATAATATTATCATATCCATCGAGCCATTTCGTGCAATACCGGTACAAGGTCACAGTAACTGGTGATGGTAAAGTCGGGGCAGAGTGTAGCCAAGGTTTACTCGGATACCGGAATACAGTATCATACTCATATCAGTAGACAGGCTTCAAGATTCGGATTAGGGTGATGCAA